GTGGGGAGCACGAGGGAGCCCCTCCAGTGTCTCTCTACCCCCAGGGCTGCTTCTCCACCTTCAGCGGGACCTTGCGGAAGTACCTCTCCCTCCCTGGGACGTGCAGCTTGGCCGTGCTGGGCATCGAGGTACCGAGCGGGGACAGAGGGTACAGGGCAGGCAGGGAGGGTACTCTGTGGGTAAAGAGACCTCAGCTGGACTCACTGGGGACCCTCCCAAGCTCTACCTGTCACCGTCACCCCCAGAAAGCGGGTGCACATGCAGCGGGTCTGTCTCGGGGTATGAAGCTGACCCCCAGCTGCAGAGGAGTCGGGTTAAGGACTGGGGAGGGAGGGGGTTTATTTTGCTCCCCCAGGCCCTGGAGGGGTGTGTCAGGCTCCTCGGGAAGGTCACGAGTGCCTCCTCCCGCTGTGGTGTCCCCTACACAGCACCAGGGCAGCTGGTGTGCAGCCCCTCAAGGGGACACAGTGACCACCTGAAGGGATCCTTTAGTCTGGGGCTCTCAGATTTCAGCAAACAGCCGCAGCTGGGACAGGGGGCTCACCTACTCCCCCCCTCTCGTTTCAGATCTTTGCCATGTTCTTTGCCTTTTGCCTTTATTACAACTTTGACTGAGCAGGAGGGAGCACAGCAGAGATGAGCCAAGGGCTCTGGGAACAGCAGCAAGCGAGAATGCTCCATTTCCTTGCGTGGCAGCACTTCGGTGACTTCCCCGTGTCCTGTCTCTGCTCCAGCAGACATGTCAGGGTGGGCCTGGCGCGGCTTTTCCCTGAGCAGGGACAGGACACAAGTTCAATTCCTTCGAGGCAACCACCCAGAGCAGGAGGCTGAGCATCCAACTTGCTCCCACTGCGCTCTGCCAGTCATCTTTGCAAAATAAAACGGGGCTGAGGAGTCCTGCCTCCCAGGCGCCTTCTGAGCTGTTGCAACAATAAAATCCTCTCTGGCTTCTCGCCCTGCGCATTTCCCCCCTCCTCCCCTCCACACCCACGTCCCTAGAGCAGGTTAAATGGTTCCAGCTGCAGCTGGAGAGTGACCAGCTCCTCTGGAGAGGCAGAATTTTAAGTCTTAGGAGTTGTAAGTTTTTATAACCGACTTCTTTAGTAGCCTTGGAAAATCTTTATTAGAGAAAGGTTTCTACAAACTACTTTTAATGTGCCTGTTGCTCAGCTTCTGCTCTTGGTTTGTTCTGAAGCAGGGACAGTGAAATAGAAACTGAAATACTCGGTGCTGTTGCCATTTCTCTGAGAGAAAGCTGGAAAGCGGAAGCTAAACCGGTGCTTCCAATTTTCCTTCAGAATATTCCAAAAACTCCACACAACAAAACAGAATTCTATCTATATAAAGCTTTATATTTTACTTATATAACAGAACTTTTAACACACACACACAAAATATAGGAACTAGAAAAACAAAGCCTGCTACAGCTACACATGGGTTAAAATATTTAGTTGTACCTCTGTAAAGAGAAAAGGAGAGCAAAAGCAGAGGCGACAGCCACAGCAAGAACAAAATCCACTCAGGCATCCAAGCGAGGTTTCTTCTCCTTCTTACTGATACTACTCCCTTTCCTTTTCTGCACAGTAGATGCATCGGTGCTACTTGTTTCACTTTGGTTTATTTTTTCTTCCAAAGGTTTGGGAGCCTGCAATAACACAAAAAATAAAAGTTAACAGCTGTGAATAATTTCGTTTTAGAGTCCTTAGCACCACAGTGTGTGTGTACGCCTTGAACACCGCACACTCCGTGAAGATCAGAACTGACTGTGCTTCTGGTTTTGACACAGTGACCCTTAATTATCCTGCTCCCACTGCTGGAAATTTTAGGAAAGGGGAACGACAGGAGGGCAGGATAATGACTGAGCCTGGAAGTGCCACGTATGTGAGCCGGGTCTCTCTGGGGTGAAGCGTGTTGCTGGCAGGATCTCCTCACCCCGCGCCCTTCTAACAACCGACACAATTAACTTGCAAACACGTTCAGAGCTCATCGGGTGTCCAGGGAGGAGACATCCCCCTCTCGGAACCTGTTGTCCAAATGAGGCGCAGGGAGGGAGAGCACCCAGCCAAGGGAGAAGGCCCAAACGTCGCTGATTTTTGGGGATGGGTTTTGATCTGCTTCAGGGCAATTTGTTTTTCTGCGAGATAAGTCGGGGTGCAGAACAGAGGCAAGAGAAGAGGAAGGGGGATGGCAGGAAGGCTGGGGGTCGGGGAGACTCAGTGAATGATGAGCAGGCGGGGAACAGGCGTAGCTGAGCCCAGGGTACAACCATAGCAGAACACGGAGTGTGGTAGGAACAGGGCTGCGGGATCCCTGGGGAAGGGTTTTATCAGGCTTCAGTTTTACTCATCCTTCATTCTTCTTGAGAAGCACTGCCATTATTTGTTAATGAAGACGTTCATTTGGAAGGAGTGAATCGAATAATATTTTTTAAAAGTATAATGACATGAAACAGACATCCAAAACACAGAACAGAAGGGGAGGAAAGAAAGAACGCTGCCAAAGGCAGCTGCGCAAAGTCGTCATGAGAGGCAAGTGGAGACAAGACAGACCATTCACAGAAAGATGGAGCTACACTCAGCTGAGAAAGGAGAGCGCGTTTCTTACCCCCTTCTGCTGGCTCGCGTATTTCTCAGTCCACTCTTTGGCATTTAGCAAGAACAGTTGCTTGTTGTACTTGTACTCTGAGGACTAAATGTAACGAGCAAGACAAAGAGATTTCATTTAATACAAACATCCTGCCAAGAACCTGGGACCAAAGGCTGGCTTTAGGGCTCCCAGAACCAGGCACAAAACACAAAATTCATTTTGCTTGAAGAAGATACACTGCCGTTTGCACTGGCAGGCTTGAAGACAAGACCCTTGCCGTCTCTTTTCCACTGCTGGCATAAACCCTGCTCCGCGTGCCCCCAGGCCTGATCCAGATCAAGCTACACTGCAACGTGCTAATCCAGAGCAAGTGAAGCGGAAGCACAGCCTAAATCCAGCACTCCGTCCCTTCCCAGCCTGTGCCGCAGCCACGAGAGAGGAAGAGGAGCTCACGTACGATGTCTGCCATGAGAGGGTCGTCGGGGTTGGGCTCCGCCATCAGCAGCTGGATGGAGGTCAGCAGCGTGGAGATGTTCAGAGAAGGCCTCCACGCACCCTTTGAGGAAACAAGGCGAGAGAAGCAGTTAAGCAGAACAAAACCTGCCCCCGGGCTGCTTAGAGAAACCTCAGGACTTGCTGCATTAAAACCCAACCTGCCCACGAGCTGCCTCAGGACTTCCAGCACTTAAACCCTCCCAGAAAACACCGGATCCATTCCCAGCACACAGGCTGCGGCCCCTCCAAGGGAGCCTCACTGACAAGCACAGGCTGGATCCTGTGGCTCTGCGGGGTCGGTATCGGGGAGCCCGTTTCCAGAGGGCCACCCAACACCTTTGACTCCAATCCTTAAAACCTCGGAAACTTCTATGGAACAGAGAAGGCCACATTCTAGTCTCTGAACAAAGGAGACTCTGCTCAAAGACTTTACTCCCGTGCTCCTGTGTAAATAAGTCAGTAGCAAACAGACATTCAAGAAGGCTTTTACAAGAAAAAGATAAAGGAGCTCAGTTATCCCCGTCAGGCTCACTTACCCATGTCTGAGCAGCACTACCTTACCTTGGGTGGTAATTTAAGAACATCCAGGCAAATCCTTCCAGCAGAGTCAATGTTAGGATGGTAGATAGGGGTCAGAAAGCGAATCTTCGGGGGTTCAAATGGGTACCTTTATGGGATAAGTGGTAAGAAAAAAAAAGTTATTTGTGTGCATGCCAGTTGCTTCATCACTCAAGTAACACTATTATTTCCTCCTCCCAGGCATCTACTCAGTGACTACTTCCTCGCAAATTTTTGGAGGAGGCAGTGCTCTGCCTTTGAGGCTTTCGGCTGGGTCCGACCACCACTTCCCTGGGCAGCTTTCCACAAAGAAGCAAGTGTGATGGGAAGCTTTCTGCTCAGGAATGAGCTCCTTTCCAGAAAGCTTTAAGACAATATGCTCAGGTAGAGATCTTGTCATAGAGCTTTTAGGTTGTTAATCACATATCTGAGGATGTCTAACATGAAAAAAGCGTATCAGCCAGGGGAAATAACAATTCCATTCCATAAAGGAAGGCTCTCAGAGAAATGCAGCTATTGTGGGGAGGACCCAAACATTGTTTGCAGGCTAAAGGAAAGACTAAAGTGGTAGCACTTACACAAAATATCTTACATCAGTAAACTCGTGTTTGAAAGAAGCACTACACCAGCCACTTAGCTAGATGTCGTTGCCCGCTTACCGTTCAGGAACAACTATTTCCAGGTTGAATATTCCTTTCTCATATGGTGTGTCTGCACCTCCTAAGATTTCTTTAAAAGCAAGATTAAAACATAAGCATTACATTCGACATCACTGGAATTTGTCCAACAGTCTCCACATACCACTCACAGAACTCTAACACTGCTTAGACCCAGGAATAAAAACTGTCATCTTATCTGAGAGCAGTTCCACCCCACAGCAATCAAAACCGTAGGGAAACTAACTGAGCCAGGGGCCAAGTTACGTTTAAAGAAAAACAAGAAAAATCCTCTAAATGATTTCCTAAAATTCTACCTATAGAGTACATACCACCCAGCAAATCCAAAGCTAGCAGCAAACTCTGATACATCCTTTACTTATAGAGAAGTACGTACGTGCCCGGAGCTCATCCAGCTGGTTTTCATTCTGCCAGCAGGTGATGCCTGGAGGTGGCTCTGTGCTCAGGAGGGAGAGCTCCCTCTTCAGTCGTGATGCTCTTTGCATTGTGCTGAAACTCCAAAGAGATTTAGGGCTAGCAGAATTGGCCTTCCAAAAACAGTACATAAAACTAAGGATTTTTTTTTTTTTTTTTTTAGCTAAGGAGCATTAACCTGAGCTTCAAGCTGTTTTCCTCATCCAATAACCAGTCTCAGAGCTGAGCCTGCTCCAGGAACTGCTCTCATATCCACCCAGAGGGGGAGAACCAAATCAGTCCTTTATAATCAGGCCTATCCCCCAGTCCCCAGCTGAGTCCAATAACC